TCATCCAGTCAGCTTTGACTCATACTGATTCTAGGCAAAACAGAACAAAACACTGCCCAGGCCTGCACCATCCTCACAGTTGTTCTGCTGGAGCCTACAGCTGCTGCCACTGTGCCAATTATTATTTCATTTTGGGGAGGAGAAGGAAGTGTGTTCCTCTTTTCTGCTAACCCTTCATTTTATATGTCCTTATCCATGGACTGCCTTTGGTAACATATCTGAAATATGAGACACAAAGTAAAGTCTCGTTATTTTGGTTTCTGAGTAGCATTCTGGTAGTACTTCTTCCGACACAGATTTGTTTGTTCTTCTAGCAGTCTATAGTACTTTCAATATCGTTCTCTAACACCACAACTCACATATATCAATCCTTCTATGATCTTCCTTTTTCATTGTTCAACTTTCACATACATATGAGGCCACTGAAAAAAAAAACCCATGGTTTGATAACTTAGTTCACAAAGACAACATTCTACATATTCTACTTTGGTGAGTAGCATCTGGAATCTTCAAAGCTCATGAGTGGTCATCTAAGATGCAGTTATTGGTCTCTCCATGTGTGGATGAAAGAAGAGTGATGAAAATTGAAGAGGTTTACAATGAATGGTAGCACTGTAGGTTACTAGTTGGGCTTCAAACTGCAAGGTCAGCAGTTTGAATCTACCAGTCACTCTGCAGGAGAAAGATGAGGCTTTCTGCTCCCGTCAAGATTTACAGCCTTAGAAACCCTATACAGGGTCGCTATGAGTCAGAACTGACTCCATAGCACACAACCACCAGGATCAATCAGTCCAATGGACTAACAGAACATGTGAACATCACGAACTCTGACACCAGAAGAACTAGGTGGTGCTTGGTTACCACTACCAACTGCTATAAAAGCAATCACATTAGAAGATCCTGAATAGAGTGGTAGAAAATGTGGAGTAAAACTGAAAATTATTAAAAAAAGAACAAACAGAAAACTAGGCTTGCTGGTTAGAAAGAGACAAGAGGAAGCTGAGACTATGGCCCTCAACCACCCTTCGGATCTAGAAAGGAACTCACCCTCCTGGCCTAGTTTTCAGCCAAGCTGTAGATAGGTATATAGAGCGACAACAATACTAGTAAGGTATGCTCACCATGGAATGGTCAAGATCAAAAAGGCAATACTTGCCTAAGGACAAAGTTGAGAAGTGATGGGAAGGTGGGTGGAATGGAAAGAGGAACAGCAAGGAAAAAGCATGATAACTGTTGTTTCAGGGAGGGAATTGCAATCATTGAGATAAAACAAAGTGTACGATTTGCTGAATGTAAAACTGATGATCTATCTTGTCTGTAAACCTTCACTCAATTCACAATAAAAAGTTAAAATAAAAGAAAACATAATGGCTTGGGTCAGGCGCATTGCAGCTTTCAAACTGTTATCTTTGCATTTGAACACTTTAAAGATCTTATGCAGCAGATTTGTCTAATGCAATACAATGCGTAGTTTGATTTCTTGACTGCTGGTTCTATGAGATGGTAATTATTCATATATCTTAGGTCCAGGAAGAGGCAGGATTGTCTGTCTTCTCACATTTGAAATTTTATCTGTCTAAGGAGTCCTGGTGTGGTGCTATGGGTTAATGCACCAGACAGCAAAGCCATTTAAAGTGCAAGGTCGGTAGTTCAAGCTCAACAGCTGCTCCTCGGAAACCCCATACAGGGTCGCTATGAGTTGGAACCGACTTAACAGCACTTAACAACAACAGCAACAATGAGCATGGGGCTCTGGCAGCATAGTGGTTACAAGATGGTTACTAACTTCAAGGTCAGCAGTTATAAACTACCAGTTGTTCTATGACAGAAAGATGAGACTTTATAGCCTCGGAAACCCTATGCAGGGTCACTATGAGTCGGCATCTACTCCATGGTACATGACCACCATTACCAATGAGTATAGGGAAGTCCTAGTGTGTGCAAGTTTGGCGCTGGACTGTAAGGTTGGTTTGAACCTCAAAGTAAGCGGTTCAAGCTCACCAGTCACTCCTCGCAAACCCTAAGCAGGGTCGCTATGCATCAGAACCAACTTGGCAGCCCTTAACAACAACAAGCATGGTTTCCAAATATTATCAATATGGGAATTTTCTGGTATATTGTCCAGAATTTATGTAGACTTTGAAACACCAAAGGCTGAACTGCATTCCATTTGCTTCTGAATTAAGAAAGCTCCAAAAAGAAATGGCTACTGTTTTCATCTTCCTCATCTTCCTTCTGCTTGGTGAGACAAATCAATACATTGCTGCAAAATCTATTTCTCACTCCACTGCTGGCTCATGTTTCCAGTTGCACTCCAATTGACTCTGACTCATGGCAATCCCATGTGTGTCAGAATAGAACTGATTTCCATAAAGTTTTAAATTACTTCCCCCCTCCCCCTCCCAGAAGTTGATTGCCAAGCCTTTCTTCTTAGGTGCCTGTAGGGGACTTGAACTCCAACCTCTTGGTTAGCTGTCTAGCACTAACAGTTTGCACCACTCAGGCACTCCAACTGATGTTTATAGATCACCACAGTTTATTTAGGAGTCATGCTAACAATGTGGCTAAGCAAAGGTCAGCAGTTCAAACGCACCAGACACTTTGAGGAAGAAAGATGAGGCAGAGAAAGATGAGATTTACAGCCTTTGAAACCCTATGGGACAGTTCTACTATCTTAAAGGTTTGTTATTACTATGAGCAAAAAATAAAAACAACCCACTGTCACCGAGTCCTTTCCCATTTCCTAACAACCTTGTATAGGGATTCTGTGGCTGTAAATCTTCTTGGGAGCAGACAGCCTCAACTTTCTTCACTGGAATGGCTGGTGGGTCTGAGGTGCTGACCTTGTGGTTAACTGTCTGGTATTTAACAAACATCCTTAGGAAAAAAAAAACTTATTGACTGCCTCTAATAATCTGTCAATGGGGCAGTAATATGGACTATAATATGAAGGGCAATGTTAATATTTATCACATTTACAAATACATTTCCTCTTTGATCCAGAAATTCTTTTCTGATAATCTGAGAACTGCAAGGTGTGTAGGTGTGGCTCAGAGTCACCACTAGCTTCTTGTAGTTCTGGTACAGTAGAACCAAAAAGGCCTCTTCAATTCGCAGCAACCTCTCTTTAGCCCCCAGGCACAGGAACAAAGTAGGACCAGCCTTGCATGCTGTAGGCTACAAAGGCTCACAGGTCCATGGAGTATATGGGAATGCCCCTTTTAGTTCCTAGAGGAAAACAAATACCTTCCCTCAAGCATTTTATCTGTGCTCCAAACCATTTCCAGTAATCTCTATCAAAGCTAACAATGCTCACAGAAGCAAGTGAAGAAATCAAAGGGCATTTTGCATAGGACAAAACTGTGGTCTAAAACTTTCTCTTTGAAGTGTTACAAACAAAGATGTTACTTTGATGACCAAGGTGTGCTTGACCCAAGCCAATAACCTCATATGCATGCATGCATGCATGCAAAAAAAAAAAAAAAAAAATGAATGAAAAGGGAAGGTGGAAGCAGGATTGCTACATTTTAATTGTTTTGTGTTTAATTGAAAACACCTGGGCTCCTACACCAACTAAATTAGTATTGGAGGAAGTACAGTCCTATGCTCCTTGTAAGTGATGATGGGGGACACTTCCTGTTAATTCTGGAGTTCTGGTGTGGCGCTGTTAGATAAGCACTAGATCACAAGGTCGGTTTGAACAGCAAGGTTGGCGGTTCAAACTCACTAGTCGCTCCTTGGAAACCCTAAACAGGGATGGCACTTAGCAACAATAATTGGTCTTAACTGATGATATTTTGGAAGTCATCAGTTAAAACCAATTACTAGAAAAGACATCATGCTTGAGAAAGAGTCAGCTAAACCCAGAGAGCTCTGGTAGCGTAGTGGTTACGAATCGGGCTGCGAACCTTAAGGTCGGTGGTTCGAAACTACAAGCCGCTCTGCGGGATAAAGATGAGGCTTTCTACTCCCGTAAAGATTTACACCCTCGGAAACCCTGTACAGGGTCGCTATGGGTCGAAACCGACTCTCCGGCACTTAACAACAACAACAAACCCAGAGAAGCCCTCCATGAGACGACTGACCTGTTGGCTGCAACAACGGGCTCAAACACATCGAGGACTGTGAAGATGGCGCAGGAACAGGCGGCATGCTTCCTTCTGTTACACCAAGAATCAGAGTTCACCATGAGCCAGAGTCGACTAGGATTTCCTACTCAGAAACTAACAAGAGTGCTGTACTTTCTTTCCTGTGCTAAGAAATGAAACATTTCCTTAAAAACAACCACCAAAGTGGAGGGTGGTAACTAAGTCTCAGTTCCCTTTAATAATTTCTACATTGAAGTCTCATAGACGAGCTACCTAAAACCAACAAAACAAAACAAAACCCATTGCCACCTAGTCGATTTACTCATAGAGTCCATGTATAGGGTTTCTGAGACTGTAATGTTTACAGGAGCTGCTAGCCCCATCTTGCTCCTGCGAGGCAGCTGGTGGGCTCCAAACGTCAACCATTAGCAGTCTAACGCTTAGCCCAGAACTCATAGACATGCTAGGGAGACTTCAAATGGCACAATTTTAATTATAACACCCCAGGGTTCACCATAAGGGAAGCTTTTAGTTTGTAAACTTCAAGAGTTTATTCATTGGAAAACAGGTCACGTCAGAAGAAGAGAAAAATGGAGGCAGGATCAGGTTGGGTCTGGAAAATGGGGCTAAGGCTTGGGGAAAATGCGGAAAAGAAAGTCACTTCTCTCTGTTTGAGGCAGGGAATCAAACAGAAAACAGAGTCTCTGGCACCGCAGCCTGGCCGCAGGGACCGCGTGGTTTTCCCGCCCGCATAGGGGGCGGGGAAGGACCCGGATGGTACCACCCCTGCAGCTCGGGCCCCCCCCACCGTCGGAGAATCCCAGCGCGGGGAGGAGATTCCCGGTACTCCGTATCTTGATTGGCTCGTCTTCGTAGGCTCTTTCTCAAGATTGGACTATCCCAGCGCCAGTCACAAAGGGTCGCCGGTCTTTCAGATTGTTGTTAGAAGGAGGCAGCGTCGACGTCTGATTAGACTCGCGGCGTTTTATCCGCTATCGGTACGCTTTTTCTTCCGCGCTTGGAACCTATCTACGGCTTCTCCTGCCGCGGGGCCTGGAAGGAGGCGTATCTAGACGACTCGAGAACGATCCGGGGCGCTCAGAGCACCCCTCGCTGCCCCATTCAGCGCCATGTCCTGGATGTTCAAGAGGTGAAGCGGGTGGAGGGGTGGGGCTCGGGTTAACGGAGCGACGGCGTCCCCAGATGAACCTGACCTTGTCCGCAGCCCCTGTGCGATTTGTGCTGTTGTATTCGTTCTGCTGCTTGCTTCAGTGGTCGCAAAAGAAAGAACGGCATAGTTTTAGTTGGTGAGGGTAGGCTCCTCAGGCGAAGCTGGTGCTAGGGCCCTGGAGAATCTGTCATGGGCTGTGGGGGGCCGTGGGGGGCCCGGATGCGGGCCGTGCTCTAGTCAACAAAACACCCGTTGGATACGCACTGTGCGCAGGCTTTGTACTCGGCTTAGAGGGCCGACCAAGACAATCCCTGTCCCCAAGGAGATCTGATCAGGTTATGTGCCTGCAAGAAGGGCAAATACATATTTATAGAGGAGCCCATGTGGGGGGGGTGCTGCGTGATATGGGAGGAAAACGCAGGGCAAGGAGAGGGGGGCACTTCCTGGAGCCTCCCAGCCCCAACAGACTTCCCCTTTTCTAAATTGGCGTACATACCCATATCCTGAGGGCCACCAGGATGGGGCCCGAACCCGTGGAGAGGGACCGAACCCATGGAGAGGGGCCGGTTTGATGTATCCAAACGGATTCCCAGGATGATGTGGTTTGGATTCCTGGGTGAGATATGGGGGCGGGGGGGGGTGTATTTCCTGGGGAAACTGAAGTATCTCTGGATTATGATAATCCAGAGGTGGAAAGTACTATCTTTAAATATAGAAACTTCATGTTTCATAGTTCCATTTGTGCCAGTCTTACTGGAATTTGACACATAAACGTCCTTACAAACATCATATATATTTCGGTTTATATAGATTGATTATCCCTAGGAAAGAGATTTGTGAACATTTAGTGTTTTTTGTGGTTTCAGTACCTTGGTGGGTGATGGTGAATGAGGTAGGATTGAGCAGGTAGGGTTCTTGGGAACCCTCACCACCCCAATTCCTGGTATGATCAGGGTGTTGATGTTCAGTGCCTTCAAATGGGTTCGGACCCATAGCAACTCTGCATAGGGTTACCTATGCAGCTGGTGGGTTTGAACCTACTTTACTGTCCAGAGCATTATCCGGTAGTGAGTGCCACACCAGGGTAGCTATGCTTAATCTGTCTTTAGTGGTTTAACAGTAACCACCTTCAGGTAAGGTTTCCTATGCAGTGCAAATAAGGTGGCCTATGAATACTGATGTGATCTTTGAGAAGTACCTGGTTAAATATTGTATAGTTTTTCATTGACTTTCTTGTTTGTTCTAAAATAGAGATCCTGTTTGGAAGTACTTGCAGACTGTCCAATATGGAGTCCATGGAAATTTTTCACGCCTTTCATATCCTACTTTCTTTCCTCGTTTTGAATTTCAAGATATTATCCCTCCAGATGACTTTCTAACTAGTGATGAAGAGCTGGATTCTGTTTTATTTGGAACTTTAAGAGGTCATGTGGTTGGACTACGCTATTACACTGGAGTAGTGAGTATAGTAGTAGATATTTACTTAAATTTTGATGTGTTTATGGTGTTAGCTAGAAAATAAAAGAAACTAGAAGATAGAATATGTAGTTAATAGTTGTTTTTACTAAGTAATCAAATATATTCAGGCAAAAGATAACATGCTTGAACTACTTTTACCTAATATTGTCTCTTACAAAGTACTTTTACCTGCGCTGTCTCATTTATCTCTGCAGTAACTTAGAGTAGATAGGACATCTACTGTCCTCTTTTATAACTGAAGAATTGACTCTCAGAAAGGTTAAACCCTTTGCCCAAACCACACAGATACTTAATGTTAGTATTTGGGAAATGATTTCTAAGTCTTGCTTTCTCATTTTCTGCACTTAGAATTCTGTACTTTAATTTTGGAAGACAAGATCCAACTAGATAGTGTTACCTAGTTTTAAATGCTTTTTTTTTTCATTCTTGTAATAATCTTTCTGTCGCCTACCTTTTCTTTTTCCCTATCTTTTTGTATTTCTGTATTCTCTACATTGTGTGTGTGTATGCTGAACTCTCAGGAGAGAATTAGAAAACATAACTCTATTAAATCTTTTAATTCCATTTTTCCATGAACTTTTTACAGCCCCTTTTTATAACTTTCTATGTTCTCTTTGTTATGATGATTTAATATGCTTCTACATTAATCTAATTTTAATTTATTATGAAAAATATCAAACAAGTTTGCAAGAATAATACAAGGAGTCCACCCTGAGATTTTATTGACTATTCTGGAGTGTGTTTTAACCCTTTCGTGACCCATGGAGCATACAAGGGGTCTTCAAAAGGTTTGTGGAAAAATGGAGTTGAAAGACGATGGAATTATTCCATGAACTTTTAGAAGCTCCTCGTATAGTGCCCACTTACATTTCCCACTTCTGGGGTTTAGTGGTAAGCTCCTATCCCACTTTTAGTGTGTACTGCTATCAGCATGACATTTATGTTCCACTATCAATATCTATGTTGTTGTTGTTAGGTGTCATCGAGTCGGCACTGACCCAGAGTGACCTTATGCACAGCAGAAGGAAACACTGCTCGAACCTGGGCCAACCTCACTACTGTTGCCACGCTTGAATCTATTGATGCTGCCACTTGGCCAGTTCATCTCATTGGGGTCATCCTTTTTTTCTCTGACCCTCCACCTTACCAAACATTATCTATAGTACCTAAAAAAAATTTTTTTATTCTTGTTTCTTTCAAAATACCTTTTATTACTGAAAACACATGACTTTAAAAAAAAAAAAGACAAAATAATTTTGTCTTGAAAAGGTTAACTTGAAATTGTTTATAAGGGGGAGCAAGTGTGCATAGATTCTTATTTAGCCTTACAAGACCACAGGAGAAACTGCCTGAAAGGATTAACTATCAGAAACTTGGGGAGTAGTTCTACTCTATCTTGTGAGGTCACACTTGGAATTGAAATTGACTCAGTAGCAGTGGGTTTTAGTGCAGAGACTTTGCCAATGCTTTTCTTAGGTTTAAACTTCTCAGATCATTATTTGGTTGTCTGAATCGTTCCAAAGGAGATTTCTTGGGCAGAAATGTCAGGTTCTGGATTTATTTATGCCTGCTCTCCCATATTTGGATACTTTTCAAATCATTCTGTGGTTTTCTGAAAGGTATTTTCTAGGAAATACTATGTTGTTGTTATTGTTAGGTGCTATTAAGTCGGTATCGACTCATAGTGACCCTGTGCATGACAGAACAAAACACTGCCTGGTCCTGGGCCAACCTCATAGTCATTGCTGTTTGAGCCCATTAATGCTGCCACTTTGACAATTCATCTCTCTGGGGCTTTTCCTCTTTTTCTCCGACCCCCCACCTTACCAAACATGATACGCTTCTCCAGTGACTGGTCCCTCCTGACAATATGTCTGAAATATGAGTGATGAAGTCTGGCCATACTGGCTTCCAAGGAGCTCTCTGGCCACACTTCTTCCAACACAGATTTATTTGTTCTTTTGACAGCCCATGGTATTTTTCAGTATTCTTCTCTAGCACCATAACTCAAGTACATCAATTCTACGTTCTTGCTTATTCACTGTCTAACTTTCTCATGCATATGAGGTTATTGAAAATACCATGGCTTGGGTCAGGCGTAACTTAGTCTTCAAGCTGACATCTTTGCTCTTCAACACTTTAAAGAGGTCTTATGCAGCAGATAAGCCTAATGCAATACGTCATTTGATGTCTTGACGGCAGCTTCCTTGAATATTGATTGAATCCAAGCAAAATGAGGAATTTCCCAACTTCAATCTTTTCTCTGTTGATAAGAATGTTGCTTACTGGTCCAGTGGTGAGGATTTTTGTTTTCTTTACATTGAGATGCAATCCATACTGAAGGGTGTAGTCTTTGATCTTTATCAGTAAATATTTCAAGTCCTCTTCATTTTCAGCAAGCAAGGTTGTATCTGCATATCACAGGTTGCTAATGAGTCTTCTTCTAATCCTGATGCCACATTTTTCTTTTTATAACCCAGTTTCTCAGATTATTTGTTCAGCATACTGGTTGAATAAGTATGGTGAAAGAATACAACCCTGTTGCATACCTTTCCTAATTTTAAACCATTTGGTGTTCCCTTTCTCTGTTGGAACAACTGCTTCTTGGTCTGTGTACAGCTTCCTCATGAGCACAATTAATTGTTCCGGAATACTCCTTTTTTGCAATGTTGTCCATAGCTTGTTATGATCCACACAATTAAAAGCCTTTGTGTAGTCAATAAAGCACAGGTAAACATCTTTCTGGTGTTCTCTGCTTTCAGCCAAAAACATGGATATGTGACGTCAGTAATGATATCCCTCTTTCTACATTCTCTTCTGAATTTGGCATGGACCTCTGGAAATTCTCTGTCAGTGTATGGTTGCAGCTGTTTCTGTATTACTTTTATAAAACTGTATTTCTATGGGATATCAGTGATATTGTCTTGATTTCTGCATTCCGTTCAGTCACCTCTCTTTGGAATGGTCACAAATACGGATCTCTTCCAATCAGTTGGCCAGGTAGTTGTCTTCCTAATTCTTGGCATAGATGAGTGAATGCATTCAGTGCCGCCTCACTTTGTTGAATGATTTCAGTTTGCATTCCATCAATTCGCAGTGCCTTGTTTTTTGCCAGTGTCTTCAGTGCACCTTGTACTTCTTCCTTCAGGATCATTGTTTCTTTTTCTTTTTTTCCTTTAAGTTTTTATTATGGATTGAGTGAAAGTTAACACTGCAGATCATCAATTTTACATTCAACAAATCACACAACTTGTTTCATTACAGTGATATATTCCCCTCCATATACCATCCATTAACAGTATTTCTCTCTATTCTCTTTAGCTCTTTTTTAATAAAAAAAAAACAACTAAAAAACACTCAGGCTTATATAATAATTTATACCACCAAAGGGCAAATTCTGCAAGTCTATATCATGGCCAGAATCTCTTAGTCCCTCTCTTTCCATGAATCTAGAGTCCTCAGCCACTGCTCCTCTCCATGTCCCCATCTCTGCCTCCATTTCTGGTGTCACTGCTTCTCTGGATAAGGCCCAATATTCCGCTTGTGCTCTTCTTCCTTGATGGTCCTTGGATCCTTTGTTTCTGGACAGTAAGATTAAGTGCTCCCCCATTTTTGTTACAAAACTTCTACCTTTACAATTGTGACAGTTGCAGTTAGTCACGATAACAATTACTACTGAATCCTGAGAATCTTATCCCCATCTCTTAACCAGACCCATCTAGACAAGATGACAACTATTCTGTGGGAACTCTTTCGTCCCCCACACACTCTTAAGTTAAACTCCCTCTTGAAACCTTGTAAGCCACTCACTTTGTGCCTTGATCACCCTCTCATTTTAGGTAGCCAGTGTCTAAGTTGCCTGTCACTCTCTACCCTGGATACAGAGGGGATAGCATTGATACTTGATGTGAAGACTCCTTCCTTCTCTGTTGGTATATAGAGTAACTACTTCCATGAGTATAGGTCAGTTTCATCAAATTGTAGCAATTTACCCTTGTGTCCTTTATCAAAAACTTTTTTTTTTTTTTTTTGTAATCTTCCTCTAGTTGAGTTCTGATTATCAAGCCATTGAGGCTAGGACAAATGGGTACTATCTGCAAATTTGGGTGTTTTTGTGCCTCTCCCTCACTTGATATCAGCTGGATGCTTCACTCTCAGCTCTAGCCCTCTGTGGCTATGTCCTTGTCCATGGGCTCTGGTGTCCCCAGGTGTCACCACACATTGGACCAGCAGCCCTTCCTCTTCTCTCTCTCATCTTGAGGTCAACGGGGGTGGATGGACCATGGTTGAACTCAGCCCATTTCTTCATTGCTGCCTTTCCCCCTCTTCTACTCACCAGTAGACCAACATGGTTGATAGCAAGCTTGCATGCCTGCTCATGTGTTCTCCTAGAGTTTCAGTCTTAGAGGGGAGTTTGTCCTAAAGGAACTTGATGTTTGTCTTGATGGCTTCCCAGTGAACAGCTTGCTTATTCTTGTAGTAGCCAGTCATAGTGATATTTTTTGTTTTGGATTTTTCCTGATGATCTTTCTTTGAAGATGTATCTTCTGTCACTCTAGCTGTTCCAGGCTGGTCTGCTTGTCCTTACTAGTGGGAATGTCCCATCTCAGGGTTCTGGATGGGACTCAGGATTCTACCTAATATCTTATACTCTAAAAAGGCTCTGCAGGAGGCCTGTTTCCACTGGACACGTTCTAGTCCTTTTAGGGATTCCAGTCAGTTACAGGCTGAAGATGGGCTTACAAGTTTTCTGTAATCATATTTCCCTTCTATACCACTCAAGTATCTATTTTACTATAGTAGGCAAGGGAAACCAATACTTGTAAGGCAGTCAAGCATCTTCCTATTATTTTCTCTCTTCAAACTATGCCTAAATCACTGTATCAGAGACCTGTTGTTCCATGGTTAAGCATTCGTCACTATTTACCACTGTCCCACTTAGCCCATGCAAATCTGTCTCAGTGTTCCCCTGTCTACCTT